ATCAAAAACTATTCATAGTTGGCAATATTACACATATTTTGACATATCTTCAGTGCTACAACTTTCTGCGAAAAAAATCAGGGGTTCATTCTATATGTTGAATCATATCTCGATTATTGTAACCTATAATTAGCAATGCTAATATATTATAACAAAATATTTCTCTTATCTCTGTCTTGGGGCTCTTAGGGTAACCTATCTCTGACCTCACTCAGAATCGGAAATAGTATATACTACGTAAATATGTGTTGTAAGAAGCATATTACGCTCCGCGGCTACGTGCGTAATTCCATGAGTGCGTAATTGCTTACAACACGCATTACGTACTATATTTTACCTACTGTTATATAGTACACATCAAAAAACTTTGGACAAACAGTCTGAATTATGATTCTTGACAGTTATGTCATCCGCTGTTGACGGCGATTACCACGATGCGATTACGCGATCATGACTGGCGGAATGAATGAAAACTGTGCGATGTGCTGACTGTGCGTAAAGAGCTACTTACTGAGGCTGCATCTCGTGTGTTCTTGCCAACTTTCTATAGTGGCCGTAGGTGAAACCATAGATGTAACGTTTAATCTATGGTGAAACTATAAGTCCAACCTAGAGGCAGGCCTTGATTAAGAGTTCTGACCGCCCTAGGCTAATTATGAGAACGCGCCCCCGCCATGAGTTTTACGGTCGGCCTAAACAGTAGTATATTAGTCTTGACTTTGTTTACTAGTGTAAAAATTTTGACAAGGTTCTTACTACCTATAAAAGTTTTCGTCTTGAAGTATTTTTTATATATTTATATTTCTGTAATCTTAAAGACGAGAGGCATCATACAAGTGAAACATTTTTTCAACTGATTAATGTTTTATTTGAAAATTATATTAATTGGGTAATTATTATTTGCTTATAATAAGGTCTTTTTTCTTGCTTTAGCGTTGGCAAATCTTTCCACAATTTTTTCTAATTCGATAGTTTGTAGAATATCACTTTCTATGTACATTAGTGAGAGCGCTGCAAGCTTTTGCTGGCGGAGTGTGGAGCGTAAGTAATTTTTTACTCTCTTGAGTGCTGAAAAAGACCTTTCGCCGCTGCAGTTGGTTTCAAAATTCATTGTTAAAATCAGGGACTATCAAGCGCATTTAGTTTTATTGTTTTGTCTCGGTCTAGTTGAAATATGTAGGGTAGATGCAATGATGCTAGATTAGTGCATGCAAAGACACGATTTTAGCGCGTCTTGCGCGCCCCCCGATCTTCGATCGCGCCCTAGGCTGCAGCCTAATCAGCCTAATGGTTAATCAGGCCCTGCCTAACGTCATGCATTTCATGACCTGATTATTTTACTTTTCGTTTCCAGACTGTTCTTTTTGATGATAAATTGATGAATTCCAAGCAATTTTCGAAATCATGAAGGATTCAGAAACTATAATTATTTTGTATTCCTTTCCAGAAACCAAGTCCAATCCTGATTTTGTTCATTGGATAATACATTTCCTCAACTCTCTGCTGCTATTATACAAAAAAATTATTTGAGTACTTCTGGTCGAATGTAGAGAGTAGGTAGTCTCCAGGAACAAATTGAAGAAATATTCATAAGAATTTGTTTAAATATTTCTTGACCAAATCGGTCAAAGTGTACCGTACAAATTGATGAAGAGCCACACTTGTAGCGTTTTTTCAGATTTTTCTGAATCGGATAATTGTTGTTGAAGAATACGATCCAGAAGGTCGAAATTTTGACATCTCAGAAGAATATGAGTTTTCCAAGTCCGGCTCTTGATTTTTCTTGCGATAACATTATAACGTTCCTCAAATATCGTTCGATATCAAAGTTTCGGTTTGAATTCAAATAATGCCCTGTATTTCTGTTACGAATAGGCAAAATATATTGTTTCTTCACATATAATCCTCACCCTGACTTCCCCTATCCGCCATTAGGCTATGCCTGATATTAGTTATGACTCACCCTGTATATGTAAAAGGTGTAATGAATCGTGCTGTCGAATATTTTCATACCAGTTGGAGATGGATTAACATGATCGAAAATGAATAACGTCCAATAGAGTGGACATTTAGTTTTTTTGGTGTTTTTGAGAAAAATCGAGGAGTTTGGTCAATATTTCATAATGTCGATTACACCCGAAACACTCGGGAAGTCTACCGCTACCGCAATTGGTCAATAAGTTTATTTCACGAATCCCACTATATAATAAAAAATATCTTCTCCACCCTTGAAATTCTCTACTTATGTGGAATTCGCCGCTTCAAAAAAAGTCTTTATGCACCAGCGGGCCGTAAAGTGCACTTTACCGCCCGGTTTTGCGGGCGTTAAGTCGCACTTTACCGCCCGCTGTTCTGAGTTACCTTATATCCACATATCAATTCATGAGAAGCCTATGATCATTTTTATAGATTCTAGTATATATATCCAGCAGTATATCATAAACTTCTTCTTTATCCGATTCCATATCTCGCTATTATTATTATCAGTAATTTTTACTTTTCAGTCAAAGAATGACAATTCAGCTCGTTTATTGGATGTATTGCTATAGACAACAACCATCAGCTTGATTGACAACGTCAAAATTAGTTAGGTATATATACTGATGGGTATGCATATTGTAAAATTCTGAAAAATTAATCACTTCTAGAGATCAAGAGTTTTACTATTACGATAATTGCAATATTCGTACGATAATTTTCATATGTAAATCATCCATGAACATTACGCTTCTCTTGATTACTGAATTTATACGTAACAAATCAAATTCGGGGGAATATTAGTTTATCGAAATCTATAGTCATCACTTTTGAGTCAGGAAATGAACCACTAGTGCATAAAATGTTGTATGTATCACGTGCGTGAAATGCGTTTATGGCCTTCAGCGTGTAATGGCCCTCGGCTAGCGCCATCGGGCCATTATTCACGCCACAGGCCATAAACGCCTACTTTACGCCCTTGATACATAAATAACTATTATATCGTCGACCAAAATGCGGCTTTTTGCCGGTTCGCCCTTTTGCCGACAAACGTTTCACCTGGCACCTATGACATCATCTGATGTTTTTATTAATCATTTCGGAGAGGAGGATTCACGGACATCGTGCTATCCTTCGTTACTGGAATGATAAAATTATCTTATAATTCCCATTCGATAATATAAAATAATGTATGGGTATTGTAGACAATATAAAAGTTCCCAAGGAATAGGATGAAGAAACAAAAATGATGAAATATGATATAAATTGCTGAAGTACAAACGTAAATATGTCCTACTTTTCGAATCACACTGGTAAAATCTCAAAAACGCAAAATAAGCCTGTATTCCAATATTGAAACACAGTTTTCAGCATTCTCCGGTGAGAACGCTAGGAATCGGTGTCGAATGGTTGGAAAACATGGGATCGCGCGCCCCCAATTTTCCCCCTCTAAAAATTTGTTTTTGCTGAAACAAAAAATACTCTAGGCTCTTCACAAAGGATGAACGGATGTTTCTCTGGAAGCGGATATTGAGTTTTTGTCTTAGTTTTTTCAAAAAAAAATTCTGAATATGCTCGTAAAATGCAATGTTAATGAGTTTTTTGCAGAATATCGGTGAATTTTTCCAAAATTCTACTTCCAGAGAAACCTAGATATTTCAATTCTTCATCTCACTATATTTTTTGTTTTCTAAAAAAATTAATATTGAACAATGAAAAGTGGGGGCGGAGAAATCATGTTTTCATTGCACTGATGCATGGTGTATCCTCCTCGAACAAAATTAGCGCGATAGTCACCCGTATATATAAGCAACGTAATCAAAAAGGAACCTTCTAATAGCATTGGAATTCTTTGACAATGAAGTATTTCCAAGAACTTTTAATATCCAAAAAATGTAAAAGAAAATCCAATACCTACCCAGTTAACACAAGACACATCCGTGACTCCACTTAGGATTCCCATTGATGACACAGTGACTGCTATTCTGGATCCTTTTGGTCATTTTATGATTCGCAATACGATGCCAAATGAAACTCGCAGTAATCCCCATTCAACATAAGAATTTATTGGTTCGACTTGTTACATTATTAGACAAAAATGTGAGGTTCCATAGTGTTGTTAGGCAGTCGCACATCCAATGAAATGATCCGAGACTAATTCTGCGAATGTTTTGTAAAATAAAGAGTCCCCTGGCAATACCATGCAATGATGTTTTCTATATAGTGATTCGCACGTTACCTAGTGAGACATGAATCCTCCTTATAGTTAGTTACGCACGATGTTCTCCGAACATCGTAGGGGTTCTCTATCGTGTACTCCAAGAGATAAAAAAAAATCGCTGGCGGTACGCGGTCACGTTTGAACATATTGAAGGAAACGGCGCGCGCGGAGGACCTTTTTGGATAAAGCTATCTCAAGTGAATTTGTGAAGACTATACCCATACGTACCTATAAGTACATAGATATATATATAGGTTTCTAATTTTAAAATGATCATAGTTGTGACAATTTCCTAGCTGAGATATTTAAGGTCGATAATAATTTATCATAATGATTAAAGTTTAATTGGTAGATAAGTAAATACTCAACAAAATGTTATTATCTCTGAAATTCGGGTCACTGAAAACTGAAATTGCCGCGTTCGAATGTTATTTCGAAATTTATGTGTTTTGGGAGATAAATAAAGAATGTATTTTCTATACTTTATTGAACACACTGTACAATCCTAGCTTCACGCCATCTGACGATCCATCGAAACAGTACCGAACTCGAAATCATTTCGTTGAAGTTTGCTGTAATAATGATATATTTACTAGCGACATCTACTCGAAAGAATGAAGCACCAAGGATGTTATGTATGATTGATTGTAGATGGATACAAGATTGGTGCCTGAACTCAACACAAATGCAATATTTCTTCAAACCTTATACCCTCCAATCAATATTGCAGGGTTTTGGTTTCTGCATCAGAATAGATCTGTCCTAGTTCGCATGTGTTTTCTTATCCTCATCTCAATTACAGGAAGATTTCCGAAGAAATTCTTCCGCCCGGCAGTCCTGGCATCTTTCGTCCAAAACCTACAACCTGTGAACATCTGACTTTCAGCGGTTACGCTAGGGCGGCGAAACAGTCGTTCGGCAATCTGCTGTCAAGAAAAATGGCTACCAGCACTAGTCAGACTTCTGTGCCTTGGCCAAATACTAAAGATGACTACGAATTGGGAAAAGTTATCGGTTAGTATACATCGAATCTGTATTCATAGTGAAAATACCTATATATTGGTGTCTAATAGTTGGGTGATCAAGGTGTTATGTGATGTGAAAAGTGAGGAATTATTCAACTTTTAAGGTTATGTCTTTTTTTGGTGTTTAATCCGGTGCAGGTTTTTTTTGATTTACGTGGAAAATAGAACAGGCCTGATGACACCAATCATATATAAATCATCATTATCTTTCGAATCTCATAATTAATTCTGTATGATCGTTATTTTGATCTCAATTCAATCTTTACCATCTAGAAAAATATCTTCACCAGGATATCCAAATTAATTGTTTGTGTTTCAACTCTATCTATTTTGATTCACTTCAATTGATCGAAACTGTTTTCATTGAACCAATTTATACTTATCGATTCATTATCATAATTTGTTGACGTCTCTTCCTTAGGCTACTACATGTTCCAGTAGATACACTACATTAAAATGTTGAAGAGTTGAAGCAATAACTTTCTACTCAATAAAAGGCGAGATAAAAGGAATCCCTAAATGGCTATTATGAGCTATTATTCCATGTAGGTACTCTCAGAATCTAGAATCTAATTGCAAAGAGTGCTCAGTTTGAACATGAATTGAAAGTTTAGAACAATCATACACATTTGCCTCTTGCCATTGCTTGTCAGTGATTTAACAGCCACAAAAAGAACCTACAGAAGAGTTCTAAAGTTTTGTTCTACTCTATGTTTCAATTTTCAGTGATGCTTCCAAATGAGCTTCCAAACATTTATTCAATTTGAATTCTGGCAACAGATATTGTGGTTTTATTTTGCTGGCTAGAATGATAAAAATGTGGGAAATTGGTATTTTAAATATTTCATGAACAAAAAAGTACATAATATGTTTTTCTAATAATCATTTCCACCTAAACACACATGAAAATTTGTGGTCTTGTCTTGGAGATGGTTGGGAAAACTTCTATACATTTCATACCATCACACCTTTTTTGCTATTTTGATTTCCAATTCTTCAATGGTCATTTTTCAACCCCTGCTTCTACTGAGTACCTGAGTACTATTGTCAACCTTATTGACAACTTAGCACAAATAATTAACATTAGTTGTCAATACATAAATCCAATAAAAATGCAATATTGTAAATTTTATTTCAGAAACATTTCAGGGACATATTCTGATGCAAAGATTGAAAATTCTCTGATGTATAGATTGAAAATTCATCTTCCTTCCTCTATCCTGCTTGGACACCAACTTTCTTGGAAATTCCAAATTATCAGAAAATCAATTATACATATAAGATCTGATATGATAAGTGTGGACTTATGAAACCAGTCACCACTTCATCAATATTTCAATCAAAGCATGCACTAAACGACCAATGGTTGTTTATTACCTGCACACTCATGGCTGGCAATAAAATTAATAAAATATTGAAAAATGTATGATTTTTGTTCATGAATGTATTCCTCTAATCGTATTCTTCGAGTTTCATATGTCACAATATATTATTGGGCAGAAATTGTCTTCCAAGACGTCTTTTTTGAAAATGTGAAAAAAGACAAACATTTTGTCAAAATGTTTGTCAATGGGAGCTTTTTTCCTTGTTTATTTCATGAATGTATTCCTTTTCGGATTCGGATACTACAAAAGCTGTATATGTCACAATATTTTGTCTGTTAAAAATCCACTCCCAAGATCTCTTTCAAAGTTTGAAAAAAATATAAACTTTTGTGGAGACTTTTGTAGAATATTTGTGGATACAGCTTTTTTTCATGAATTTATTACTTTGATGGTAAGTACTTTATAAACTGTATACCTATGTCACAAAATGTTGCCTGGCAGAAATTTACCCCAGGCCCATTTTCTAGAAATTCCAGAAAAATGAGAAAAGTATAACATTTGAAAATTGTATGTGGATGGCAGTTTATTCAAAGAATTCATTTCTATGGGGCACTTCAAAAGCTGTTTATGTCACAATATTTTGTCAGTAAAAAAATCACTTTCCACTCAACCCCCCTCCCTTATTTGAAAATATAAAAAAATATTACTTTTTCTGAATGTATGTGGAGGGGAGTTCCCTCGGGAGTTCCTTTCCATAAATGTATTCCACTATGGGAACCCAATTCCTCATAATATTCCAAATAAAATCTGAGATTTTTTCGATTGAAAAAACGAGGTTTTGGGTGTGAATTTTCGCTGGACTACCATTGGTGGTTTGGCGCACGCCTTGAAATATTAGACAGAGAGCTGACAACAAATTTCCGATTAATAGATCCTACCTTATTGTACTGCCGCTCGTACTGCCGTAATATCTTTAAAAACTGATCGGGATGTCTGGCAGGTTTCCAGTGGTGGAGGCGGCCGTGGTAGGCCGTAACTACTATACCGTGAAACCCCGCGGTCAGAACATCAAGTCATTATTAATTATTATTTAAATCAATCCCGATATCAAAAATTTTGAATTGAATTTGAATCATACTAACCATTTGTTCTAAAATGTTTAAAATGGTCGTTGATAAATGGCAAGAATGATGCAAACAATGGGCTAATATCAAAAAAAAAATTTATTTCATAATTCGATAGAACTCACCCAAACTACCTCACCACTGAAAACCGTTTCTTGCTGTGAGCTCCCTACGTTTTATAAAAAATTATTGAAATCCCCGATTTTTTGGACCTCTGAAAACGAGGCGATGATGTGACGTCAAAACCCTAATACTGAAACAAGACTATTCCAGACAGAGATGAATGATACATGATTTCTGACAGAGTGAATTAGCGTGAGATCGCAGTTGAAAGAATTTATATATGAGTTGCCTCAGTCTCCGTCGGGCGTTTGGTATTTTCTTTTAACTATGGCGAGATTAGGTTCTACGTCATAAGAGGGTCCGTTTTCAGAAGGTGTGAATTTTTATATATCTATAAAAGGTTAAAAAAAAACAGACACATCTGAACATAATTTTTGTAAACGTAAATATTTATTTGAAAATGATGAGTTCAACAAAAAGAAGTATGTCTTGTTTTTTTTTAATAGGGAATAATTTTCCGAGTAATTTTCTGCCTACTGGAGCTATTGAACATTCCAAAATTTGCAGTTGATTTGAATCGAGGATCAATGTTCGACGTTGCATATGGCCAGGAAAGTAGTTTTCTGTTGAATAAATGAAGAAAGAATTGCTATTTTCATCACATAGAGAATGCCGAGGAGAATGCGAATTCTCAATTTATTTCTTTATATATATACAGGGTGATCCACGGTGGATGACCTATTAGAAGTATCTGGAGAACGAAAAGACAGAACATTCTGAAAATTAGGATGCTTTGATAATTGAACATTCTCTATATGTCTAAAATATTTTCATCGATACAGTGTTGCCAGTTCTATCAGAAACAACTAGCAACATTGTTATTTCAAACGGAACACCCTGTATTTTATTGCATTTTTAGATTATTCCTGTAGAGCTGATTTCATCTATGCATCACACTTGGGGTCTAGCAGGAATGATTACAGAGATTTTCCAATTTTAGGATTTTTTTGTGTCGAAACTATTTATTATCGATCAAAACGGCTTACATATCCCTATCTTAACTTTTGATCCACTATCCACTGGAATTTAATTGGAAAAAAATACAGGGTGCTTCAAGATTCAGAATTCTGATCACCCTGTATCTGTTCCAATTAAATGTCAGTAGATAGTGAATCGAAAGTTAAGATAGGGATATGTAAGCCGTTTTGATCGATAATGAATAGTTTTGACACAAAAAAATTCTAACACCCACTATATTCTTACAAAAAATGTTAGGAGCATTAATAACATCAATTCGTTTTCAACCATAACATCTGATATTACATATCTACATAGTTTCAAATGAAACTGAGTGACTTTGTGACTTTTGCCAATAGATATATGAGGCGCTTCATTTTTTCAGAATAATTATCACTTATTAATTCCATTAAGTTAATAGGACCGAACAAAATTATCGCGATAGTCACCCGTTGCCATAAGCAACGTGATCAGAAATGGCCTTCTAATTGATTTAAAATAAATTTATGAAATTTTCGGGAAAATCGGGAAATACAATAATTATTCTTCATGAAGTAAGTTGATTTCAATTGGTCTATTTTGGTACCTAGCTCGCCCTGTAGAATGTATAGTACGTTGTTCTGGAAACACCTTGTATGTTCGCTAATATATTCGGAATTTCACAAAAATTTCGGAGTTTTATCCATACCGACTATACAGTGTGTCCCACTTACCATGCTCACCATGGGTATCTTTTTGACGGTAAGAGATACCAGGTCGGTTAAATGACATCAAATGTGGAGTTTGTCAAGGCCAACTATAATGTGGAAAAATATTTTGATAAAATCTATCCGTTTTTGTTTTAAAAGCGAAAAACAGATTTTGATCATTTTCATGTCTCCTCCGTAACTTCTTTATTTATGGAAATACTCAAATAGGAATTTCACATTCTCATGGTAGTTTTTCAAAGTGATTTCGAAAAAAATATAAAATTTATACCAACTCTTCTAGAATTTGAGATATCAGCACCAACTTTAGTTTTTCAAATGTAGGTCATAGCTCACTATGACTCTGTTACAAATAACTTTTTTCCCTTACAGATGATATGGCGCAGTAATAGTTTTGTGTTGATAACAACGGAGTTATCGTCATTTATACAAGAACAAAAATTTATTCGGAAGCCGCCATCTTGAATTTTTTAATTTTAACAAGAAAGTCATGATCTCCGACCTCAAAAACCCGCACTTACCAATTTTGAATGGAATCGGACCAAATCTTGTCCGCCATCTTGGAGCAGCCATTTTTTTTAGTTTCAACAAAAATTCCATAATTCCGATTAACTTGAAATTTGGCAGGTGTTCATAATTTCGGTGACAATACATCATGGAATTTTTGTTGAAATTAAAAAAAAATGGCTGCTCCAAGATGGCGGACAAGATTTGGTCCGATTCCATTCATAATTGGTAAGTGGGTGTTTTTGAGGTCGGAGATCATGATTTTTCTGTTGAAATTCATAAATTCAAGATGGCGGCCTCCAAATAATTTTTTGTTTTTGTATAAATGACGATAACTCCGTTGTTATCAACACAAAACTATAACTGCGACATATCATCTGTAAGAGAAAAAAAAGTTATTTGTAACTAAGTCATAGTGAGCTATGACCTACATTTGAAAAACTAAAGTTGGGGCTGATATCTCAAATTCTAGAAGAGTTGGTATAAATTTCATATTATTTTCGAAATCACTTCGAAAAACTGCCATGAGAATGTGAAATTCCTATTTGAATATTTTCATAAATAAAGAAGTTACGGAGGAGACAAGAAAGTGATCAAAATCTGTTTTTTTCGTGTGAAACAAAAACGAATAGATTTCATCAAAATATTTTTTCACATTATAGTTGGCCTTGACAAACTCCACATTTGGTGTCATTTAACCGACCTCGTATCTCTCACCGTTAAAAAGATACCCATGGTGAGCATGGTAAGTGGGACACACTGTATAATGTCTCTCTAGGCCGCATTTGTCGAATTTGATGTGATTATTGTAAAATCCTCACTTGCATTAATCTTGGGTATTTTTTTAGGTGTTATATAACTTTGACTTACAGATAAGATTTTTTTTTCGACGGCCTACTTGAAATACGCACTATAAAATATCACGACTATTTTGTACTGAATTTATACAGGGTAACTCACGGTCGATGATACGTTAGACGTTTATAGAGAACGGGACATAGGATCATTCTGAAATTTTGGTTACTCACGTAGTTGCTCTTGGTCTATCGATCTAAAATATTTTCAGCTCTGCGGCGTTGCTGCTTCTATCGAAAAGTAGCAACAACTTTGTTATTTTAAATGGAACACCCTGTATTTTATTGCATTTTCAGATTCTCTCTGAAGATCTGATTTCATCGATGTATCACACTTGGGGTCTAGCGGAAATGATTACAGAGATATAGGGTGTGAAAAATCGTAATTTTTCAACTTTAGGAATTTTTTTTGTCGAAACTATTCATTATTGGTCAAAACGGCTTACATGTCCATATCTCAACTTTTGATTAACTATCTACTGCTATTTAATTGGGACATATACCGGGTGATCAAGATTCTGAATTCTGCACCAAACTGTATTTGTTTCAATTAAATGTCAGTAGATAGTTGATCAAAAGTTGAGATAGGGACATGTGAGCCGTTTTGACCAATAATGAATAGTTTCGACAGAAAAAATTCCTAAAGTTGAAAAATGTCGATTTTTCACACCCTATATCTCTGTAATCATTTCCGCTAGACCCCAAGCGTGATAGATCGATGAAATCAGCTCTTCAGAGAGAATCTGAAAATGCAATAAAATACAGGGTGTTCCATTTAAAATAACAAAGTTGTTGCTACTTTTCGATAGAAGCGGCAACGCCGCAGAGCTGAAAATATTTCAGATCGATAGACCAAGAGCAACTACGTTAGTAACCAAAATTTCAGAATGATCCTATGTCCCGTTCTCCATAAACGTCTAACGTACCATCGACCGTGAGTTACCCTGTATAGGCAGTTATGACAATGACAAATCTACAAATCAGTTGATGACAGTGTCAGTTTCTACAAATTGTTATAGTACCTAGAGTCACTGGATGGTATTAGTTAGATAAGAGTTCGGACACAGCTGAACTTTTGTTCTTTTCTATTTTCTATTCGCGATAGAAAATAACACATCGCCCCATCTGACGGCAATAACTGGAACACTTCTGAGCGGTTTGTTTTGATGCTATGACCAATAAGCACAAACAAAAAACAAATGTGAACCAATGAACACAAAGTAAACAGGCCGCTTTGACAGCTTTCAAAAATTCCGATAGGTGGCGTACGCTTATTTTCTATCGCGAATAGAACAATGGTTTGAGTGAATAAAAGAATAAGACATATATTCTGCACTTTGTCTTTTCAATTTCCCTAGTAGCGCCCACGTAGCGCCTTGTAAGATGCGATTTTAGAGGTTAGATTTCCTGTCGTATCAATCATAGGCGTAGATGGAAAATAAAAATGGGGCATAAAAACACCTACTCCAATTCACATTTTTCGCAGAACAACAGCTATAAACATGAAAACAATGCATGTAACAACAATTCAATACGAGTATTAATATGACAAAATAGACATATGGATATACTTATAGCTAGTTCCTTATTATATGTGAAAACTTTACCGGAGTGATGAAGTTTGAAATATGAACATTGTTTTAATTTTCCACCTTATGCTACATTCATTTTTCACTGATACATTTTGAATTTGGTATTGAAAACGCCATTCAATGATCTATGGTAAAATGTGCTGCGTTAGGCTGTATCAATCAGTCGAATGGCAAAATTAAATTGTCAGCTTTCCATCAGATGCAAATGAAATTAGAACATGGAAAGTGAAGTGACCGAATGGGTAAAATTGGTAAATACATCAGCAAAATATTCTAGGTAAAACTAATACGAAATCACATATACATTCTCATTGTGCCTATAATTATCAACTCCACAAGTTTTTGAATACAGTTTCGATTAAAACGGAGGATTAAAAGAAGAGGCATATGCCCTACCATTTAAAAAAATTATACCTACATTCAGGAAATATTAAGTGTTCATGAAAAACTGCAAAAATGATTCCCAACATGAATATACAGCACATCATGATATATGAGCACATTAGTTTGAATACCTACATACAATTTTTCACAATTTCTCAACCATAAGGCTTGGTTTGAAATCAAAATTCATTTATTGATAGGTACTGCCTGAGAACAGTCCAATTGGTAAAACTTTCAGAAACATTTGCTCACTGCCTCACAAAGATTATGCTGGAGTTGAAAAATCAATAACTCGAAAATTATCATCATTTGGATATAATATGTAGAGAGTTGAATGAGAAATTATATACATGTGGAAATTACGTAGGATACGCCAATGTCCTCAATATAACATAAAAAAAACAAATGTCAGAAATCTAGATAAAGATGGAACTATATAACTGTTTCACAAACACTTTGGAGTGAGAGGAGACGAGGATCTGTCCGTACCCTGTTAAGATGACAAATACGTCAATTTACATCAAGGAACCCTAACTAATACCATCTAGTGACTAATAGAACCTAGTTCAAATTCAATTCAATTACATATTATTTATTGGGTGATGGAATTTTCATCCGACGATGAAATGTTAGATTCTACTCCCCCAGAAATCTAGGAATTAGCAATCGAAACGACAAAAGGATTGCTTCCAGAAAAATAAAAACAAGTATGATTTAGCGTATAATAATTTCATTGCATGGAAAGAAAAAAAAACAATGCGAAAGGCTTCTCCGAGGTAGTTGTAATGCCTAGTATAATTATATTTCAGGTAGGTTGTCGGAAAAGTATAGTGTAAAACTCGTGCGGAAACTGGTTATCTCATACTCGTGTGACAATACCAAAAAACTCATTTTCCGCACTAGTTGTACGTTATACTATTTCAATTCATATTTCAAGGTGTTGGAGCGACTGCTGTTGTGCATGGTGCATTGTGCAAGCCAAGAAACGAAAAATGTGCCATCAAAAGAATCAATCTGGAGAAGTGGAACACTTCCATGGACGAATTGTTGAAAGAAATTCAAGCCATGAGCAGCTGCAACCATGAAAATGTGGTAACCTACTATACCAGTTTCGTTGTAAGAGAAGAATTATGGCTTGTGCTCAAACTTTTGGAAGGTTTGTTCTTGATTTTACATCTATGCTAAAATTATGAAGAGGAAAGATTTGTTTGTTTGTTTGGATTGAATAGGCGCCGAAACTACTTGACCGATTTGAAAAATTCTGTCACCATTAGAAGCCGACATTATCCTTGATGAACTTAGGCTTCTTTTGGTAAAACTGCACTTATCATGTGATGGTTTTTTTTTTCAACAATGTTTTGTGCTACTTACGTATTTTTGTCTGAAAAACACGAATTTTATAATGAAAATGTGAACAAACCATTATTTATTGAGATATTTCACTATAAAGTTTGCCCTTCTTCTTTCATCATTGGACAGTTTACATATCACAATGTACTTCAATGGCACATTTTTTCTATTATATGAGTCAACTAGAAATATGATTCTCTTGCGTTTCATCCATATTTAGTGAAAAGAAGGAACTGAAGGAAGAATATCATTTAAAATAATGGCGTGTGTAATGGCATTCAAGAGCAATCTGTTGACATTTGACATCCCGTATTTGGATTGACTATTCACTAAATATGAATAACTCGCCATATAAGTCATATTTCGTGTTGAATTTTCTATATAAAAATGTGTCATTGAAGTATATCATGAGTATATAAAGTCTCCAATGACAAAATAAGAAGAGCAAGTAGCTGCAAATGCATGCAACACAGGGGGAAAAAGAAGGCGAAATTTCGAAATTTTTCGTGAAATATCTCGATAAATAGTTGTTTGTTCACATTTTCATTATCAAATTCGTGTTTTTCAGACAAAAATACGTAAGTACCAAAAACATTTTACCCTACTTTTTACCGCGGGAAAATGCTTCATTCCTACGGGAAAACTGGTAATAGGACAACAGGTAGTAAGAATTATCCTGTACTTATCTTTTTCACATAACTTCTAAACGGCTGAACCGGTTGCGATTTTACTAAATATACTGTACGCTAACACATACCACGCCCACCGTTATATCTCATCTTCAAAGTACTTTACTTAGGCAAAACTCAGAGACTATTTATCCTCAACGAACTAACCTATCCCTGATTGCAATATTTTTGAGGAAGGAAAACCGAATGGAGTGTAGAAACACATTGATTAATAATATATTTCAAAAGTTGAGTTCTTCAACAAAATTGAATAAAATGAGACTGTTTATCCTAAACGCACTAACCTATTTGACTTCAAATATTTTATGAAAAAGTAAAACCAGAATGAAGTAAAAAAACATTGGTGAAAAAAAAAGTTGCAAAAAAAGTTCAAGTTCACAACGATTCGAACCATGGACCTTCAGACTGAAAGTCGACAGCGCTAACCAGTAGACCATTTGGGTGTATGAATTTACTGGGTACAAGAGATTGACAACGAGAGAGCTTCAGTCGAATTCGTGTCAAAATCATAAAAAATGTATTCTTGCGTTGGAGCACAGTATATTTAGTGCGATGTGCTGACTCCGAGTATATCGGTAATGTTTGGAGATATGACGTATTATGGTGGGCGTGGTTTGTGCTAGCGTGCAGTATATTTAGTAAAATCGCGAACCGGTTGGGTTGAAATAAATATTATATGGGTATTTCGATGGTTTCCTGAATGATTTAAAATTACAATTGGACGCCGTAGGTGGCGCTGCTGTCGGTACGTCAACTACTCAACGGCTTGACCGAGTGGGTTGACATTTTTTCAAAAGATACTGAGAGAATGAAAATAGGTGTAAGCATATAATAGTAGGTATTGGTGAGCACAAAAAAATTTAAAAAATAACAAAAGAATATGTACTGTAGATACGCACGCGCATAGCTCAGAACGACTGCAACAAAGTCTTATTTTACGTAAGCTAGTTCATAATCAACTTCAAGATTGATGAGTTAGGCAAGGTACCTTATAATTATTGGAGGTCGCATGATTGTCATCATGCCTGCCTGCTGCAATTGATGTGAACTTGTTTAGTGAATTTAATATTTTTTCACTATGAACTTTACAGTAAAGGTTGATTTTGTAGAGTTGTCCCTCTCAATGGAGTGGCAGTTAAGAATCTTGAATGGTGTTTTTTCTTACTTTGTTATTATTTCATGAAATCCTTTGTGATTCATTTATTGATGAGTCAATTCAAAAAATGAAAATACAAACAAAACGAGTTCATTAGAGTGCATCTGAAACCATGTTGATCATATACATTATACAACTGCAATTTCAAAATGTTGATGTAGGTTCAAGAGCAAAATAAAATGTTTGATGACCTACTGATTTCTGAAAAAAATGAGCTTTTCAAGTTGCACCTTTCGAAGAGCTGTATCTCATAAATTAGTTTTTTTGGCCGTTATTCATCATAAGTTTTTTGTCATGATCACTCTTGATCCCTGAGAGTTCCCAATATCTTGTGAGAATTATTAATTTTTAATGGAGGTGATAATCAGAATGTTATTTTTTCCAATTTTGACGATTACTACTTCCATGATAATTATAGAAGCAAACAGTTGCATAACATTAGATGTATGATAATTTTTGATTGATACATGATATTATCAAATTGAGATATACAGGGTGATATAAATACATATGAGCAAAGAAAGAAGGCATATCAGATGCGTTTAATTCGCTCAATTCCGCCACTGAATCACTTGTTTTATTTGTCAACAATACTATTATAAGCCATATCCTATAACTTTTTGAATTAAATTTAAATAAATGGGGAAGTTTCCTTCAGATGAATTCTCATAAAATGAGTTCGGTCGTTTTTATTTTCAAAATAAAACAATTTCTGATTTTCGTTGCGGCAAACTGTAGTAATATTCTTTCGTTCTGAACCATCTAACTGAACTGATCAAAGTGAAACTGAACAAGATGAAACTGAACTTTTGTATCATCGATCTAGCTGTCGTGATTAAGACGAAAGAAGAGGTTCGGATGGATTACTAATTACAAGAATCTTGTTTGTCGGTTTGTCGCTAGTGTCACATACATCAAACAATAAGGTTATTATATTGTTATTAATAATAATTACACATTTAGAAATATATGTGAAGGATTGAATATGATGGAATTTGTTTTGGTGAGTATACCTTTTGATGATTGCTTCCCGTAGCAATAATTTGAGCCAGAATTTGAAGTACTTTTTTGGCCAAATGTGGCATCAGGTATGATGAATTTGAGCTCACAGAGAATATTAATTTCTATAGGAAAATATCATGAAAACCAGTTCAATAAAAGTGGAAGATCTGAGTAGCAGTAGTAGTGATAGCAGTGACTTGGACAGTGATACTGATATAATGAGAATGAAGAGGGCAAGGATAGAAAATTATTTTGAAAATACTGTAAAACAGTATTCTGATGAAGACTTCAAAAGACATTTCAGAATGACTAGAAATTCTGTTGAAAAACTTTGTGGTAAGGTTTGACAATAATATTGTCATAGGCAGTATACTTACAAATATAATGAAAACTGTTTGACCAATTTTTTCTATGTATATTAAGAATGTATAGGTAGGCATTTAACTTATTTATATCACTTTATCAAAAAATTCTCGGTTAAACCTTCAGGTTTGATCAAAAGGGTTTACAGAAACTTTGTAGTTTGGTAACTTTCAACATTTCAGATTAGAATTCATCCAGAGATGAGCCTTCCACCTGGTTGGTGATGCCATACTCACTGATTCCTTGACATCATTGGAACACAGTTGAAAAGTCGCCGACTTTTCACTTCTCCCTATAGATACCCACTTTTCCAGGAAAAATGTTCTGCAGAAACGTATTTGACAAGCTCATTCAGCACATTCTTTTGTCGTCAACCTTGAGATGCAGAACAACTCCTCACCAGAACCCATTTGTCTATAGAATGGCAAAGTTTTGGAATTCTTTGCCAAGGGGAGTATTTCCGAGAATGTATAATCTTCCAATGTAAAAAAAATCCAATGCCTACTTTCTCTCCTGATCCTCCCTAGGTACACATGTTCCTTGATCTATTCCTTCAACAAAATAGAGATTCCCTTTTTGCCTTCCAATGAAAAAAAAGTATCAACCAATTATTTAATTTTGTACTCTTGATGAATATCATTTTCAGATCTTATAGAAATCCAAAAGAAGTATATTGGAGGTTGGCCGGAAATCTCAAAAGCAAAAATGGTTCACATGATGTTGTGGTATTTAGCCAATACGAATACCTTCAGAGAAGTAGCAGATCGCTTCAATGTTTCAGAAAGTGCATGTCATGGATGCCTAAAATTGTGTATCATGGCTCTTAAGGAAACTCATAGCAGATTCATAAAATTTCCTGATGTTAATGAATTTCCAAATTTATCACAAAGATTTCAAGAAAAAAAAAGGATTCCTTTGGTAGTTGGAGCAATAGATGGCTGCCACTTAAAAATTGATAAACCAAAACAGAATCAAGAAGATTATGTGAACAGAAAAGGTTATCACAGTATCCTTCTTCAAGCCATTGTGAATCACCAAAAGATTTTCACAGATATTTATGTTGGAGAGCCTGGTAGCATGCATGATGCACGACTATTGAGAAAATCTCCAATATATGAAAAAATTCAAGATGAAAATGCTCTATACCCTTATTATATAATTGGGGATAGTGCCTATCCAGCATCATTGAATTGGATTGTAACACCTTACAAAGACAATGGACATTTATCTGATAATCAGAAAGAATTCAATCGACGCTTATCAGGAACAAGAGTTATAGTGGAACATAGTTTTGGATTGCTTAAAGGTAGATTTCGTAGGTTATATGGTTTCCACAATAAAGATCTTGAGTTTATTGTGAATTGTCTGGTGGGAGCCATTATTTTACATAATCTTTGCATTATTTGGGATGATTTGGGTGAAGAGTTTATAGTAGAAAATGATGGAAATGTTCAAGTAGAATATGAATATAATGAAGACGGCATTCCAAGAATAACTAGGCGTGATGAGGTCTTTCACATGTTATATTAATATATCCATACCTAATAAATATATTTGATTCTGAAAATGTGTTTTAATTCTAATCCAGTAACTTAACATCATTCGAGAACTATTAATATTTCTATTTGATATACTGAGCTCAGTTCATTAATTCAACAAAATAAAAAACTTCCTGTTATTATGCTTTCTTGAGGTAGTCTTCGAGAATTGCAACTTTTTTTTCTTCTATGGCAACCAACTTCTTTTGCAATTCGAACTTTTCTGCTTTTAAGACATCTTTTTTTTCTGCGTCAACTTTCTTTTTCTTATAATAATCAATTTTGAGATTAATTAATTCATTCACTTTATTTCGCCTTTCTTTAAATGATTTTATTGGTGGAACTACTGCTTCAACTGTTTGGTGTGAAATCTGAACAGTACTGTTATCACCAACATCATTATTGGATTCTTCAGAAATTTCAGAATTCCGTGATGTGGAACTGAATGTATGGGTACAATTCATAACTGGTCTCTCACTTAATATTCCATCTAGTCTGTCGAAATATAAGAATTTAACGGTTCCTCGTCCAGTCTTTTTTTTTGTATCTTTAATAGACTTATATGTTCTCAAGAGATTTTTCCATTTGACCTCACACCTACCCGCATCATGAGAAATCCCAGTTTCTTTCAATGCAGTAGAAATTTTCTCCCAGACTTTCTTTCGTCTTTTTGCATTTTTGAAATCTTCAAGATGATCTTCATAAGCTGATATGAGAGCCAAAGTTTCGTTATGAGTCCAATGAGTCTTTTCCTGCACACTTTCTTCGGATTCCACTGGCGGGTTATTATAATCATTATCATGCTCCACGTCAATATCTTCTGGGGATTGCTGTGCAGAATATGCTTGCTGTTGGACTGGTTGAGCTGCATTCGAATAGGATTTTGTACATTTCGCATGAAAAAGGAGGGAGTTTGCAAAAGCCAAATCTATAAACATATGAGGAATTATATAATAGGTCATCGATTTTGTAATCGAGATTACCATTTTTGCACTTCTCTGCATCTTCGTAGGATAAATAAACGGAGTATTCCATATTATTAACAGCATCATGTAAGATCACCTTTTCATGGGGTTTGGGCATTTTTATTTTAATTTGTTTTGGCGCTTCCATTTGAATTCGAAAATGACAGTGACAAATTAACTTGACAACTGAACAATGTAATCGAAGAAAATCTTGGTTCTCCAAGTTCACTTCGATTCACCAGCAAGCGTTAGGTGGGGGAAATGAGCTAAATGCGAAAGAACGCATGTTAACTGAACCAGTTCAGTTCGATTGAGATATTTCAGTTGGTTCAGAACGAAAGAATATTACTTGTGACGTATATTCTGAATCTAGTCTGAATATAGCTGAATATGAAGAATATAGCTAGCGAATGGCTAACAAATGAAAAACGAATAAAAAAATAGAAGAAGAAGACAACTTGGCGTCGTTATTGATCATATCATAAAAAATAACGAGCTAACAAAACAACTATAAACTGTAAAGAGGTTAACTGGAAATCAAAAATCGACACAAGTAAAACATCAGATCAGCTGTCGCGGTGTACTTGTCAATATTTTTTGTAATGTGGACGGGCTCAAAGTATTATGCGCTTTTGCAAGATATAATCTGATACTTTCCTAGAAAATAGATCGGTTTTATGAAGAAACGAATTCATTTGCGAAAAAATGACCGACAAGTTATGATTATCATTTTAAAACATAATGAAAGTGAAAATTATAGAATATAGATCCTATTGGAAAAAATCATCATTTATCTTTATTGATAAAAAGTATGCATTATAGATTTGAGTATATACACTCAGTTCCAAAAAAAGTGACGCATTTGATATTTGACCTATCTTCTTAAAAAAAAAATAGTAGACTGATTTTTATTTTTTTTTGTTGGTAGGTAATGCATTTGTCTTTAAAAAAAATAAAGTGGTGAAAATGTTTTCAGAGCCTCCTTGATGGTGGTGGAATAACTCGAACCATGATTTATTCTTAATTTTGACTCACCCTGTGTGTTAATTGAGTAATGGTATACAAAGTGCTCACACCCTATACGAAAGAGGCTTTTTCTGCGAGCATTTTGTTTTTTTATTCATTAATTTATCTCTAAAATTTTCCGAATTACAGCTATCTTGCTGATACCTTACGCTTATCCCACAAATTGAATTTATTGAAGGATCAGAGTACTCAAAATTGATTGGGTTGTACTCTGGTAGGATCACATTGTCTTTAAAAAAACACATTCCGTTGCCATAGCAACTAATTTGTTGTATGCCTCCATATTTGATCATTTGTCGTTGTGCCATTAATTAAGTGTCATGTTTTATTGACTAAAATTACATGAAATGCCTCAAATAAATCCTGAACAAGTATCAAGTTTAGTTGCGTTAGTAAACGTTTACTAGTTAGGCCGCTCGTGCAGTGGGCGTTCATGAAGCAACTGCTCGTAGAGCAATCCGCAAGAACGAACAAACTGGAAGCACCGCTCGGAGGGTCGGTTCTGGTCGCCCCCGAAAAACTTCTACAAGAGATGATCGCTTCTTGAGATTGCGGATTTCACGGAATCGATCAAATACTGCGGTAAATGTTCAGCAAGATCTTCGCCAAATTCGTGATGTTGCAGTAAGTAAGCAGACGGTATGTAGACGTCTAAAAGAAGTTAATTTAAAAGCTAGGAGACCTGCAAAAGGTCCCAAATTATTGCCCGAACATCCTGCTGATAGAAGAAATTTTGTTGAAAATTATGGACAGTGGGAAATTCCTGAATTGTCCAGTGTCTTGTTTACGGATGAGTCAAGGTTTTGCCTTAACATGGTGGATGAAAGAAAAAGAGTGTGGAGAAGAACTGGTGAACGGTTTAATCAAAATTTAATAACAGAATGCGAAAGTTTTAATGGTGGGTCCGTTATGGTGTGGGGAGGGGATTTCAATCAATAGAAAGACACCCCTTCATGTTTTTCCGGTGAGGCAGTCGATGAATGCCCAAATTTACATTGACATTTTAGAGCAGTATGTCTTACCGTATGCAGAGTTAGTGGGCAATAATTTTATATTGATGCAGGATAATGCCCGACCACACACCGCAGCAATAGTGTGAAACTTCTTAGAAGCTACTGGTATTACCACATTACAATGGCCTGCGAGAAGCCCCGACATGAATCTCGCAGAAATGGCAGATGCATTAGTGGAAGAATGGGATCGTATACCAATGGAAACGATAAGCAACTTAATTTCCAGTATGCCTCGTAGATTAGAAGTTCTTAGAGTTGCTAGAGGAGGCAATACACGGCATTAAGCAGTCATCCCAATTTATAATTTTGTGTTTAATAAAAATGTTTTTTTAAATTATTGATATCAGTTTATTTCATTAGAAAATTGTTTCTCGATAAATTCCGAAAGTTGGTAATCTGCGAGGATTCAGCAAAAAAGCTGTAATTCGGAAAATTTTAGAAATAAATCAATGAATTAAAGAACAAAATGCTCGCAAAAGAAGCCTCTTCCGTATAGGGCGTGAGCACTTTGTATACCATTACTCAATTAACACACAGGGTGAGTCAAAATTAAGAATAAATCATGGTTCGAGTTATTCCACCACCATCAAGGAGGCTTTGAAAAAATGTTCACGTCTTTATTTTTTTTAAGAAAAAAAGCATTACCTACCAACAAATAAAAAAAAATGAAAATCGGCCTACTATTTTTTGTTTTTTTAAGAAGATAGGTCAAATAACAAGTGCGTCACTTTTTTTGGAACTGAGTGTAGCTTGTACATCGATAGATCTCCCCGATCATCGGTACTACTTTATTTTCAATGTGGTCAATATGTTTACTCCAGTTCATTTTGTGGTCTACAACTGAGCCAAGATATTTTGTATTTTCAACTCTTTGTTTCTTCTCTACTCCAATTTTAATGTTTACCGCGTGGAGGTTCGTAATTTTTACATAAATACTATATACAGGGTGTCCGGAGTAAAACTGACATAACTTATGGGGTTATAGGGACTGCCAATATGATTGCAAAATGCCATATACAAATGTCCAAAACCGCTTCGTTACTGACATACAGAGTAATTAATGGATTTTGACAAAGAAATAAGTAGCTGGAACAAATACAGGGTGGTTCGAAATTCAGAATTCTGATCACCCTGTATCTGTTCCAATTAAATGTCAGTAGATAGTAAATCAAAAGTCGATATAGGGACCGTTTCGACCGATAATGAATAGTTTCCACACAAAAAATCCTAGAGTTGAAAAATCTCGATTTTAAACACTATATCTCTGTGATACATGAAATTATGTCAACCAAAAGTACTATAATACATTATATATGTACATCATGTAAGAAATTACTCAACCACATCACCCATGATGTAGAGCATTTTTAAACTATATTAGTTGCTTACATATTTATTGTTGTTCAATATTGATGATTATGATGAGACAGGCTCGTTTTAATGAATTATTAGGTGGGAGTCTCTTGGACATCATCAAACACAAAACCAGGGCTTCAAATTGCAAACATGGAGTATTTGATGAAGCCACAATCGCCACAGTGCTGAAGGAAGTGCTGAAAGGGCTGGAGTACTTTCATAGTAATGGCCAGATTCACAGGTAGTAAAATATGACATTTTGGTTTTCTTCATTTTCATATAGTTGCCTAGGGTCATGTTAAGTTGATTGTCTTCTGATTTCTCAATTGGAAAATATTTATTACTTTCCCATTCTTCCATTTTTTATTATTAAAATTATAAAATTGCTAATTTATTATGATAAGAAAAATGTCAACACAGTATCACTGTATAGGACATCAACACAGCAACTCAACGATTTTCTGACCAGGCTAACTATGTTCATTGTATTTTGAAATCAGACAAAAGGCTGAGTTAAACAAGCAGTTTAACGATTTCAATGAGTCAACAAAGATCCAACCTTCAACTTAACGTGGACTTTTTCATTATCTAAACATTAAAATTCAAAATTTTGTTCTGTGCGAACGAAACTGTTGTCTCTATTTGAATGTGATATTTGTATCCATAACTATTTTATATTCCACTCGAAGAGACGCCATGCAAAATTGGTAAGTGAGGGTTTTTGAGGTCGGAGATCATGATTTTTTTGTTAAAATTTATAAGTTCAAGATGGCGGCTTCCAAATAATTTTTTGTTTTTGTATAAATGACGATAACTCCGTTGTTATCAACACAAAACTATTACTGCGACATACCATCTGTAAGAGAAAAAAAAGTTAATTGTTACTAAGTCATAGTGAGCTATGACTTACATTTGAAAAACTAAAGTTGGTGCTGATATCTCAGATTCTAGAAGAGTTGGTATAAATTCCATATTCTTTTCGAAATCACTTTGAAAAACTGCCATGAGAATGTGAAATTCCTATTTGAATATTTTCATAAATAAAGAAGTTACGGAGGAGACATGAAAATGATCAAAATCTGTTTTTTGCGTATAAAACAAAAACGAATAGATTTTATCAAAATATTTTTACACATTATAGTTGGCCTTGACAAACTCCACATTTGGTGTCATTTAACCGACCTCGTATCTCTCACCGTTAAAAAGATACCCATGGTGAGCATGGTAAGTGGGACACACTGTATATAAAAAAGCGATTTGATATTGTCGACGGCACAAAACCGCCAGATAGTAGAAAAAGAAGGAGAAAAAGAAGAGAAACAATAATCTAACTTCACTTTCACAGTTTCACTTTTGTACTTTGCCCCAAATCTAAATAAAATGGTAAAAAAAGGAAGGTCCACCTTGGTCTTTTTTCTGAGAAACACCATAGGTGTTAGATGTTAGTACTTTAAAATCGAATGCAAACACCCAAATGTCAACAAAATGCAAAACATGTACTAATAAACTGTCTGCAGTGTCCTAACAGTTAAAAAAAATAGTAAAAGCCGCCAGACAGAGGAAACAGAGGATTCAGAGGAAGTCTTACGAATAAATTTTATTCTATTTTTAAGTGGGTAGTTTTTTTCTGATATAGATTTCGTTGTTTTTTTTTATTGTAGTTTTTGCCAAGGATGTAATTTCTGTAGAACCAGATTACCAGATATCAGAACCCAGACCACTGGTCGTTTGTCGTTTTTGATGAGTTCATGAAGAGTTGTTCAATCTAAACATTGTTTGTCTAGAGTTTTTGGTTGGTTAGAAGGATGTTAAATTGAAAAATCTGTATTAAGACATTGAACTTGCAAAAGTAGTGTATTAAATAGCAATTTTCCATGTTTTCTGTCGAAAAGTTCATAAATACAAAATATCCTCATAAATACCCAGCTCCTAGATATTTACCCCGGTAAATACCCTGGGTATTTACCATTTATCATAAATACCCGGGATACTCAGCTCCTAGATATTTACCCCGGTAAATACCCTGGGTATTTACCCTTAATCATAAATACCCGGGTATCACCCATCACTATGTCTGACTGCCATTACTTGTCGTGCATCCGTACTTCAAATATACAAGAACCTCAAAACAAAATTGTCAGGTCTATTGAGGAACTCTATTATTCACATCCGGTAGATCGCCCACATCTTCTGTGACATCCTGTATATTTTACAGGGATATTAAGGCTGGTAATATCCTTCTGGGAGAAGATGGGACCGTTCAGATTGCCGACTTTGGTGTCTCTGCCTGGCTGGCTACAGGGAGAGACGTGTCACGAGAGAAAGTAAGGCACACTTTTGTAGGAACACCTTGTTGGATGGCACCTGAAGTTATGGAGCAGGTAGGAAAATCTAATATTGTGATGAACGCGAGTGTTTTGGCAACAGAGCAGAATATAATACGTTGTTGTGTATACGCCATGATAATGAAGAATATCATTATTAACCAGGTACCGAAATTATACCCCATGAATCAGACAGGAGATACAGAATTTTGTGGTAATATTCTTCATAACCGAAGAGTTTATTATAGTATATTACGTAATATGTGTTGTATGAAGCATATTACGCACGAATGGAAAAGTAATGCACGCAGCCGCGGAGCGGCGAGTGCGTTATTCCATTAGTGCGTAATTGCTTTACAACACGCATTACGTACTATACTTTACCTACTGCCATATAGTACATCAAAAAAGTTTGGACAAACAGTCTGAATTATAATTCTTGACAGCTATGTCATTCGCTGTTGACGGCGATTACGTGATCATGACATACCTATACTGGCAGAACTAACGAAAACTGTGCGATGTGCTTACTGTGTGTAAAGAGCTACTTACTGAGGCTGTATCTCGTGTGTTCTTGCCTACTTTCTATAGTGGCCGTAGGTGAAATTCTTAACATTTGTGCATCCAAATCAAATTTATCTTTCAATATCTTGTGAAGATGACCAACTTTTATCTCTTACAAAAAAATATAAGAAACAGTTTGACTTGTGCAGGCTCGATTCTGTCAGAAGTCAGGGGCTACCAATTGATGAAAAAAGTTTTCAACCTGGACTTTGGGAACAACATAAAAAAAATTAAACTTGCTGTTATCATGTGAAATATATTCCTCGCTCAAACATATTAAAATAATTTCTTCTATTGTTGTACAAACTATGATTTCTCCATCATGACGTGTTTGTAAATTAACTTACATTTATGTTGAGAATCAAAAGAAATCAGCTTTCAAAAATTCTCATCCATAAAACTGACGATAATAGAGCTCGATCTTTCCTGATTCAGCGTATTAGTATCGCAATCCAAAGAGGAAATGCATCATCAATATTGGGTTCTATTCCTTCCACTAAGCGATTGGATGAAATTTTTATTCGTCCACAAAAAACTTCGGAGTTCTATACTCAGCTGAATGAAAAAAGCTTCAATTTAACTCAGTCCAGCTCCTTACCCGTCATCTCAAATCCGAATCCTATCCATCGCCAAACTATTGTCAGAGACGATGATTGCTACCTCCGACCCCTCAGTAATCTGGACAATATTGCCCTAAGATCGAAGTTGCCACCACCTGTTCTGAATTCAGGCCTAATCGGTTTGAAAAATATCGGGAACACTTGTTTCATGAACAGCGTCGTTCAATGCCTGTCTCAAACTGAGTGGATGTTGGAATATTTGAGGAAGAATGCTTACTTCAATGATCTGAACAAGAGGTCATCAAGCAAGAAGGGGACTCTGATAAAAGCATTTGCAGACGTCATAGAGAAGCTTTGGTCGAACGATCCTTCGATCCGAGTCGTATGTTTGGACGATCTGAAACTTCGGATTCAAAGGTTCGCACCTCAATTCAGAGGCTCCTCGCAACAGGATGCACAAGAATTTCTTTGTTACCTGCTGGAGGGGCTGCACAAAGACGTCAACATGGCCGTAGATGAACCGAACCCGAACCCAAAGCCAGTACTTATGGAAATCGACAAATCATTCAGTTTTAATGTCGACGCAATGGATTCGTGGTCGAGATTCTTGATAATGAATAAATCTAAGTTCGTCGATAATTTTGTCGGGCAGTTGAAGTCTACTTTGAGATGCACCTTCTGTGGATATTGTTCGGAGACATTCGACCCATTTTGGGAGTTGTCTTTACCGATACCACAGCGATCAGGCCAACTCAGCTTGTCACACTGCTTGGACTCGTTTACGAGTGTTGAGATTTTAGACGGCGAGGAGAAACCAACTTGCTCGATGTGTAGAGAGAAAAGAAAATGTTTGAAGTCATTATTCATCAACAAGTTCCCAAAAATTTTAGTTATACATCTGAAACGTTTCTCGCAGACTGTAGAGTTCAGTGAGAAACTTAACACATTTGTCGACTTCCCCTTGATCGGCTTGGACATGAGCCCCTATGCAGCTGAAGATATCGTACCATGTCCTTACAATCTGTACGCTATCTCAAACCACAGCGGTACCACCTACAGCGGACACTACACAGCCTACTGCAGACATCTATATACGAAAATTTGGCACGAATACAATGATTCCCTGGTTTCTTCAATTCCGTCGAACTCTCTCGTAAGTGGGGATGCTTATATTCTTTTTTACCAACAAGAGGCTCACCCCAAATTCGAACAACGTGATGTTGACTCTGTGAAAAGCTACTGCTCCGTAGCTGATCCCGATAGCACCCTTCGTACAGTCTATTCCGCTGATAACCACGACATGTTCAACACAGTCGTGGAGAAGCATGAAACTCCAGTTTACCTAGCTCCAGCTGCACACTCTGACCCAGTAGATATTGTATACTCTGGTCCAGTACTGAATGTATACTCTGCCCCAGTACAGAAGGTATATTCTGCCCCACTTGCACATGCTTGCTCCAGTACGTGCAGCCCAGTATGTGCACGCTGCCCCAGTCGTTCTTTCTGCCCCAGCTCACTTGTGGAGTGAATGAAGTGGAAAACCATTATTTATTTATTATGTTATGTTTATATGTTCATTCAATTTGGAATATATTTGTTTTTTATCAAAAAAAAAAAAATTTGATTATTTATTCTTAGTTCACAGTTCAGTTGTTCATAAATTCATCATTAGAAATGAAAAAGAAATACTACAAAGTCAAAGTTGGCAGTTGACAAGACAATTTTAACATAATGTAATAAAACAACTGATACAATTTTGTTGGAAATGTTCGATGATAGTTACTTCATGTTGTTACCAAGTAATTTCGCAGATGACATTGTTTATGAAAACTATCGAACTGTAAGCGAGACGTTATGAAACAATGGCATGAGCAAAATTGAAGCAGCAAGCTGGTGAAATATCAATCGACAAATATTCCCAGGAAAAATAGTATCATGAATTGTATTTGTATAACTATTTCATGATTGAATAAGACAAATCCGTGCTGTCAAAATTAAATACGAATTATAATAATTATATAATATAATCAACTACTAGTATAGTTGTATACTATTATCATCATACCCAGATGAAATTGTGGACTTGTGATGTTGTAGAACATTTTAAATCCGTCGGAATTCTACAAAAATTTGCTAGGAATAATAAAATAATATTAATTGTACATGGTACCTTAAAAATAAAAATATATTATTGGAATCTGCTCACACAAATCCTTCAAGGATTTATGGGGCACTGTTTTTGTCCAGCATCATCATTGCACTATGTTTCTTATGGTTTATATTGTTAAGTAGGAGGATTTTCAGAACTTAACAAATATATATTTATAATTGTCAGAAATATTTTCGGGTGTAAATGCATGATATAATGATTCTATCGATAAAAACATGTTTAATTGTAGTGTCATGGCACACAATCGAGAATCAAGGGTGTGAAAAAATTGCGAAAGCTTGCTCGAGCGATTTTTTAAAATGTCCTTGATTCGAGATTTTTTGCCAAATGACAATAAAATTTGAATTCAATTTGAGAGTATGTATCAATAAAAACATTTCTCGAATGTATTTTAGGGAGTTCAATACACAGCTACATTATAAAGACAATTTGGTTTGAAAAAGAAACGACGTTGTGTTGAGAAAACCCGAAAATTATCTGACGGTAGTAATAGTGACAGTTGTTGTCTAAGCATAGAATTTATTGTGTTGATTGAAAGCAAGGCGCATTTTACCGGTTATTGGGGAAGCTATGTAGCATTTTAACACTACAAATGCTTGATGATGGTCGGTTTCAGGAAATTGAAGAAATCTCATTGGTTCTCAAAAGATTAATCACTGAAAAAACAGGTTAGTTTGTCACGTGTTGGTCGGTCACATATTGATCTATTCAGATTCAGTCCTGGTATAGCAACTCCGATAATGTTTAGTTAACATGAAATATCATTGTTAAACAGGATATTAGTAATGTGAAATGAGCGATTCTAATTGGTTATCGAAAACAAGGGTGGATTAGTCATTGATAAAACCATGAGTGTACACAACCATCAACCAATTTCCAACATACCTTCCTATTGATAACTAACCCCCACTTTAGATAATTAACTTCTATTTCTATCTTTGTTCTTTTTCATAGAGAATTTTACACTGGTATTTTTAGGATCATGGTTACGATTTCAAAGCAGATATCTGGTCCTTCGGTATAACAGCAATAGAAATGGCTAGTGGTACAGCTCCTTACCATAAGTATCCTCCCATGAAGGTTCTTATGCTGACGTTACAGAATGATCCACCAAATCTAGATACCGGTGCCGAAGAAAAAGATCAGTACAAGGTAAACTCTGTGAAAAAATTTATAAATTCCTTCACTCTGCACTGGACACAAATATTTACATTTGAATACACAAATTTACGGGTTATTCAATTATGTATTCAAAACTGAAAAGAAATAGGTAGGAATAGATTAACAGATTTTTTTATCCTTACACTGGAATACTGTGTTGCAGTTATTGCAATACTGTGTTGCAGTTATTGCAGTATATCTTATGGTACATATAAATCATACAAATAGCAAATGTAAAATTGAATGGGATTAACATGAATAATCAGACAATAATAACTAGTTTCAAAATCTTTCACGAGTTGTTGAATGTTAGTATGATTAAAATTGAGTATTGTAAAGAAAGAGAAGAACATATATTCTTCGACTCCACTTTTGAATTGAATGTTAGTGCAATTTTGTTAAAATTTGTTACTGCAAAAATATGTCATATATTATTATTATAGCTATTATAGAAGGTACACAGAAACTTATGGTTGTTGATCTTTCAAATTAGCATGTTCAATATGTTTTCTTTTTATAGGCTTATGGTAAAACGTTCAGGAAAATGATCACAGACTGTTTGCAAAAGGAGCCATCGAAAAGACCTACGGCAGCAGAGTTACTGAAACACCCGTTTTTCAAAAAGGCGAAAGATAAGAAATACCTGCAATCTACTTTGGTAGCTATTGGTCCAAGTTTGGAAACGAGGGTTGAAAAGGTAAGTCTATACAGAGTAAAATAGTTGTTCTTCATCCATATAACTGAATTTGTGCTAATCAATTGGTAAGATACATATAAAGTATAAGTCATGGCACACTCAGATGGAAAATCGAAAATTAAATTAAAATCGATATTGAAAATGATGCAGAATTCGAAAATGCGATATATAGGGTGTTTCGTTTGAAAATCAAAAGTTATTACCACTTCGGAAAATGAAACATATTTATTTCAAAATATGACATTTATCAAGTTGATGGATCATTCCAAATTTCAATCAGTTAGTTATCTCTGAAACTGAAGTAGAAAAAGGGGGTGTAACATGATCCTGTTACACCCGGTATATATAGAATACCAATTAGAAATTATTTTAAGGGAAACTTTATTCAACCAATCATTCTACAATTTTATTTTCGCATTTCACGTAACTTTAAACTATTCTTATTTTATTATTCCTGTTCTTGGCGTGACAGTTCGATGATACCAATCTTGAAAGAATGAAAGGTGTATATCGTAATATAACATGTTCAGATATGTATTCAAGCTTCATAAGGACTATTTGCAAAATAAAAGTATCATCAGTTAATTATCAGTTATTTTTTGAGATAGGAAATCATCAATCATCTTCTTTCCTTTGGAGTGTACATGGATGGCTCTAAAAATGTATTAGTGTGAAAAATCAAACAGCCTTCACTACCAGTGGTGAAGGAAAAAGATATGCAATATACAATAACCTTCAAATTTTTATTGGAATCATTTGAATGCATTCTCATGCTATACGTATATGAATAAAAAACACAAAAAAAATGGCTCATGCAACTAGTATAAATCTAATTACGGCATCAGTCTCAACAGGACAATAAGAAAGAACCCCATTTTGAATTGCTACCAAGCAACAAAAATTCTAATGTTCTTGCAATCGGATAGATTTACTGAACCTGACCCAACGTTAATGCATCTCAGCATTTTTACCCCACGAGACGTTCAACGTCTGCGAAATGAACCCGATCGCCGAACGCCACCTGATGTTGGGTGTCTCTCTCTTTGTGACCATTGCATTCCACTCTGAGTATTTTGCTTTTTCCTAGTTGGATATTTTTCTCTTAAATTTTATTCTTGGACAAAATTAGTCAACAATAAGGAAATACGCAAAAGAAATAATCATATTCCGCAAGAAGAGTCTTCCCTAGGTATGGTAGGTATTTTATGTTTTATTTTTTTCAAATGATATTGAAAAAGATATTGGTTGAGGAATATGGATACAACTGGATGGATCTTGACCAGTGGCTTAACACGAATTTTCCGCGTTGTCGTTGGATTGGTCGGTTAAAAGCAACCTGACCTTCCCTCTGTATCCCCGCTACTGATTTATATTGAAATTTAATACATTTCATTGCATTAAGCTAATAATAGGCAAAATTAACATGTTATTGCACGGATATGCTTATTTATCTCAAAAACGGTGCGTTTTCGGAAAAATGCAGATGCAAGTAAAGTCTTTAAATAACGATCCACCCTTTTTGTAACTGGAAGATGTCAGAGGCATACTACGAAAAAGTTTGGGGGGAATAAAGAAGCCTCTACTCTCAAAAACGTATCATCGTGTGTATTTTGAAAATCTTTGAAATTCCTCACATGATGATCTAGAAAGTATTGACCACGCCAAATTTCAAATTGATATTTCAATTTTTAGAAAAAAATAATCAAACTTTGACCCCCTATATCTCCACTACTGATCGAGATCGGACACATATTTATACCCACTTTTTTTATCAAAGTGATGAGATCTATCACCCATTTCATTTTGTACCTTAAAACCTGCATCCCCTGTATATAATATGAATAATTAAATAGATAAAAGGTTGTCAGTATTTTATTTCCATAATTTTCCGACAAGAACACATCACAACTTTGAATTTACCGTAAAGCTCAACTTTTCCATCTTTTCAATTCCTTCCGAACATTTCCTGAAAAGTTGATCGAACACTGCTGGAAAACTTGCAACCCTATGTGAGGGTTGTAAGTGACGCTCGAGAATTTCGAGAGCCACTTGAAAAATACAAATTTTATACACCAACGTCAGAGCAATTTTTGTTTGGAAAAAAGTGATTATACGTATTTCCATTCAGAAATTCGATAGACAATGCTGATATTGCTGATAATAACCTCAGATGATTCGAGATAATTGTTTTGATGTATTCGAATAATACCTATTTATGAAACATATATGCCACCAGTGCTCACTAGCACTAGCATAATAATTGAGCCATTTACATATCCATTTACGATTATGATTATAAAATATTTGAAAAATTTTTTGATAAATGAAATGATAACATGACGACAAAATAAATCGATTGACGTATGACGTATTCAGAAATGGCAAGAACATGGAACATTAGAACGTGTAACAATGACAATATGACATATTGAAACTTTTGCATTCTGTGGTGTCTTTTCCACATTCAACAGTGTTGCATTCTGCAATTATACACTAGGGTCCCTTGATGTAAATTGAGGTATTTGTCATCTTTTTTTTATCGCTTTTTAACAGGGCAAGGACTGATCTTCGTCTCCTCTCACTCTAAAGTGTTAGTAAAACAGTTATATAGTTCCATCTTCATTCATTTCTGGGGATAAACACTAGATTTCTGACATTTGTTGTTTTTTTGGTTATATTGAGGACATTGGCGTATCATACGTAATTTCCACATGTAATTTCTCATTCAACTCTACATATTATATCCAAATGATGATGATGATTTTCGAGTTTTTGATTTTTCAACTCCAGCATAATCTTTGTGAGGTAGTGAGCAAATGTTTCTGAAAGTTTAATACGTTTCACCCAATGGGACTGTTTATAGGCATTAGTTATCAATAAATTAATTTTGATTTCAGACTAAGTCTTATGGTTAAGAAGTGGTGAAAAATTTTATGTTGGTATTTAAACTAATGTGCTCATATGTCATGTGTGCTGTATGTATTCGTGTTGGGAATCATTTTTGCAGTTTTTCACGAACACTTAATATTTCCTGAATGTAGGTATAATTGTTAAATGGCTCTGGAATTCATTGCCTGAGGAAGTATTCCCAACAACATATAATGTCCAGAAGTTGAAAAAAAAACCCAATACCTACCTCCTGTCCCTATCCTGCCTAGGAACGCACGATGTTCTTTGAACATTATAGGGATTTCCTTTCGTGCGCTCCAAGCGACAAAAAAAGGGCATATGCCTCCTCTTTTAATCCTCCGTTTTAATCAAAAGTGCATTCAAAAACTTGTGGAGTGGATAATTATAGGCACAATGAGAAAGTATAATATGTGATTTCGTATCAGTTTCACCTCGAATATTTTGCTGATGTATTTTCCCCATTCGGTCACTTCACTTTCCATGTTCTAAATTCATTTGCATTTGATGGAAAGCTGACAAATTCAAATTTGCCATCCAACTGATTGATACAGTCTAAAGCAGCACATTTCACCATCCTTCCAAAACAGAATTGAATAATGTATTAAGAAAAAGTATGAAATTAAAATTATGTAAGATCTCTTTAAACGCCCAGCAAGAGCAACATTTGGAATAAGACAATTAAGGTATCAGTTAGATATCCAGCATTTAAGGATGGCCTACTTCTCCTTGTTTACTGACTTATGGACTTATAGTCTGGGATATTTAGATCTATGGTCTGGGGAAACTGTAGTCACAAAGAAAAAGTATTTGTAGTACAAAAGAAAGTAATACGGATTATGAGTTTTAGTAGCTATCTATCTTTTTGAAAAATATCAATTCTCCCATTACACTGTTGCTAAATAATGGAGTGCCTTCTATTCATTCATAAAAAATGTTTAACAGATGGTGTTGTACGGCACAATCATATACATTCATACTCAACTAGAAACAGTGATGATATCTGCATACCATGCTGTAGAATTGAGAAAACAGAAAATTCATATATGCTGAGCTCTACAATGCCCTACCACACAGCTATAAAGGTTCAACTTATTCAGTATATAAGAAAAAAATACGTGAATACGTGATATACTGATGTTACATTGTTTTTATTCAGTTGAGGAGTATCTTTTTTTAAATATTATTATATTCTATTGCCTGTAGTTTCGATTGTAAAGTGTATCTGTGACGAGTGTGAAATTCTTGTAATTTTATATAAAATAATTCATCATTATCATTATCATGAATGTGACGTGACTGCGATGTCATGTCAGGGGCGCCAATACACGAAACCAAAGTCACTAGACGATTAAAAGAGAAAGGAGCTATGATCTGTCCGTACCCTGTTAGATGACAAATACGTCAGTTTGCATCTCTTTTTTTCTTCTTTCATTTCAATGGCCGTTCTGTAAGACAATTGGCCATCTTTTTTGCATGTTCCAGGCGAAAAAACGGCAACCGGGCGCGTCGGGCCGCCTCCACCGCAAAGAGACCGGCGAGTGGGTGTGGTCGAGCGAGGACGAGGCGGAGGGCGCGTGCGCGGACGACTCGAGCGACAGCGACGACGGCGCCAAGCCGATGAACACGCTCGCCTCGGCCGACGATTCGCCGAGCGGCTCGGACAGGGAGGAGGGGGCAGACGATGGGCCGCCTCCTGTTAATCTGGTGTTGAGGATGAGGTGAGTCCACAGAAATTTCAACACGGGAATCCAAATGGATTTTTTTTACAATTTCACACCTAACATTTTCGACCATTGAAAGCCTGTGTTTTGTATTGTTACCATAGCAACTGAACAAATTGCTGAATTTTTTTCTTCTCTTTTGGGGAGGGAGCATGAAATTACACTGGTAATGTTTTTGACGTTTATAGGTTATAGGATATTACATAACGAGAGTTGTCAAACGTATATTACGCTATGCGGCATCCTGTGTAACTCCACAAGTGTCCAATTGCTTTAAAAACTCGAGAAATGTACTTTCTACGACCACACTGTACTTCCTCCAGGATAGTACAGATATTGTATTAAGACAAAATATCAAATACGTCTCCAGTCATTTTGAGCTTACTGCATAAAAAGGTGAAAATTACAATATTTGTTTATTGGTAAATTTCATAACAAGTCATTTCCCTCAATTTGAACTGAAATGAAGCCGTTTTTATATCTCAACAACTTTACTGATGACAAAAACACATTCAATAATAATAATAATAATAATAATTTATTATACAGTGTCATTCATAAAGTCGGCATCATATGGGAAAAACTTTTATTAATGACTTATTTTGAAATTCGAGTTGGACGTCAAGTTTTGCTTCAAAAAAGATGAAAAATGGCCTACTCAATCGGGGTCACGTGACTTTCGCTACATGTCAAAAGTGACATTTTTTCAAATTAATCGCTGAAAGTAGGCTTATTTGTTCGAATATCGAAAAAGTTTACTTGAAAAAGTTGTTCCGATTTGAATTTTACATATGTGACTCGGATTTTATCTTTCTATTACATTTATTAGATTTCGATATTTTTTAAAAATTTTCGAAATTTCTGTAATATTAAAAAAATTGTAAATTCGATAAAACTACTTCATACCAGTAGCTTCATCATGTTACTAACTTTTAATTACTAATTATCACTAATTATCGACAAAAATATGATTTTCTTCAGAAAATGATAATCTCCTCTTCAAAATTCTGTTATGTTTGATGCAAACATAACATCAAAATTCTGTTATGTTTGAGTCAAGCATTTAGAAACGAAATTCATTTAAATTTATTTTTTCAGTACTGAAAAGATCAGTTTAAATGAATTTCGTTTCTAAATGCTTGACGATATATCAACTTTGCATCAAACAACAGAATTTGGAAGCGGGTATTATCATTTTCTGAAGAAAATCATATTTCTGTCCATAATTAGTGATAATAAGTAATTGAAAGTAAGTAGCATGAAAAAGCTACTGGTATGAAGTAGTTTCATGGAATTAACAATTCTTCAAATATTACAGAAATTTCGAAAAATTTAAAATAAAATCAAAATCCAAAAGTTGCAATAGAAAGATCAAATTCGGGAAGCATGTGTAAAATTGAAATAGAAACAACTTTTTCAAGTCAACTTTTTCGATATTCGAACAAATAAGCCTACTTTCAGCGATTAATTTGAAAAAATTTCACTTTTGACATGTAGCGAAAGTCACGTGACCCCGATTAAGTAGGCCATTTTTCATCTTTTCCGAAGCAAAACCTAACGTCCAACTCGAATTCCAAAATAAGTCAATAATAAAAGTTTTTCCCATATGATGCCGACTTTATGAATGACACTGTATATAATACAGGGAAATTGTGAAAAATGTCGAAAGGTGAAAAAAATTCTGATCTACACATATTCATATAAATACTTATTTACACACATAAATACACATCAATTAAGACATACATCCTGTGTAACTCCACAAGTGCCTAATTGCTTTAAAAACTCGAGAAATGTACTATACTTTTTTCTACGACCACACTGTACTTCCTCCAGGATAGTACAGATATTGTATTAAGACAAAATATCGAATACGTCTCCAGTCATTTTGAGCTTACTGCATAAAAAGGTGAAAATTACAATATTTCTTTATTGGTAAATTTCATAAGTCATTTCCCTCAATTTGAACTGAAATGAAGCCGTTTTTATATCTCAACAACTTTACTGATGACAAAAACACATTTAATAATAATAATAATTTATTATATATAATAAATACAGGGAAATTGTGAAAAATGTCGAAAGGTGAAAAAAATTCTGATCTACACATATAAATACTTATTTACACACATAAATACACATCAATTAAGACATACATGAAAAGCATGTTGACTAACCATCACATTTAAGATTATAAGATTGTTCGGTCTTGGTATACCAAATATATATTTTGGGAATTATTCTCAATAAATTTGGCAATATCGCGAAGTTGCAAGAGACAGAAGCTCTTGCACCTGTCCACCTACGTTTGGACATGCGTGACCTTACCAGCATTCTAAGACTATTCATCCTAGTGATAAGTTGTCGATTTTTAATGGGTATTTTTCGTCGCCCACGCATCGTGACTATTTAGTGCGCTTCGCTTTCGGCTTTTCGCTGTTTTCCACAACTTCAGCCAGAGACCACCAGTTCCAGAACAAGAGCTAGCTCTTCCAGGGATCTTCAGGAGGACACCAAGTAAGTGGTTTCTGTCTCTGCTCGCTTTTTATCGCCGCCATCTTTTGCTGTTAATGAATAATTGGTTAGTTGCCGCCCTGCGGTATACAGAACATAATATCCAACCACTCGAGCTATCAATTACCCCTTCAGGGTACGCACATAATTGGTCCTTCGAGCCGGATAAGGCCCTTCAGGCATTTTTTGATTTTTCGATTTTCGAAAATTGAAATTGAATTCGTTAATTCAACGCGCATACTTGCTGGAATAATAGAATTCATATTCTCTGTTGAATTTCAATCGGTCTAGTTAAAATATCAAGTAAGTTCCACTACGTATTTTGTCTATCTCGACCGAACGCATCCTCTGGATAAAATCTCAAAATATTTGTTGTTTAATTAGCCATTTTTGATATTTGCTACAACGAACACCGCAAAACGCTTTCGCCGGTGTTGGTCCATCTCGAGCCATCCCTACTCATTTAGATTTGCTCGCTCTTTTCGTGCGCGAACTATAAGCGCGAACAGCGTGAACACCGTTTACAGTAGTTTTCACATCAAAAATCGTGTTTATGCATTGTTTATCAAATTATCAGCTGTTGACCGTTGGGATCTGAATTCGTTTTGTTTTGGTTCGCACGTTCTTGCCTACCATTCAAAACCCGGACTTGCTCTTTCACATTTCTCTTGCGTATCGATATTTTTGTTTCATTTGATCATTATTTTTGATACCTTAAAAAATGTCAGATAAACTTCGAAGAGCCATCGCTTATAGAAATTCATCTTTGAATGAAATTCATATTCTGAGCAACATCGCTAATAAATGTAAATCTGATCGTAACTCGCACAGCACATTCAAAGTGCGGTATACTGAAATCGAGCAGCTACGCGAAGATTTTTCAAAGAATCATAATTTAATTATCGCAACAATGTTGCAAGATGCCGATACCGACGTTACAGATGAGGAATCTCTTAGGGAAGGTTTTATGACAGACTATTACTCGATAAAGGCTATCTATATTGATTTGTTCGACAATAATTCTCAGCCTCTACTTCGAAGTTCTTCAGGTTCAACCAACCCCAATATTCGTTTACCGAAAATTGAGTTAGTAAAATTTGATGGTAATTACACTACATTTGACAGTTATATAGATATGTATGATTCGTTAGTTCATAACAATGATTCGCTCTCTGAAGTTGAGAAATTCAATTATTTGATCTCGTCGCTACAGGGTGCTCCTTTGTCTCTGGTGCGTTCATTACCTATGACTGGGGCTAATTACCTCATTGCTTATCAGACTCTTGTAGATAGGTATTTGAACAAACGTTTGCGGGCACAGGCTCACTGGAATCAAATTGAAACTTCTCCGAAAATTTCTTCGGATAATCCAGGCGCCCTTCGTAAATTGATCGATACATTCAACGAAAATTTAGCTGCATTGGAGAAGATGAATTTCCCTGTTGATCAGTGGGATTTTATTCTCGTGATGATGATGTTGAAGAGACTTGACGCGCCAACCGCCACCAGATTTGAACATGAACATGGCTCTACTGAGGTTCCCACTTACAAAAAATTAAAAGATTTCATAACTAAGCATTGTATTGTTTTAGATTCGCTTTCCCTTTCGCCGTCTTTGCATAATAAAGCAAGGAATGATTTTTGTCGTAATCAAACTCAGCCTAGTCAATCTCCTCGCAAGTCGAATTCATTTTTTTCTAATGCGAACAGTAACACTTATAATAATTCCTCTTGTAGAGTTTGTAAGGAAGCTCATAATATTTATCAATGTCCGAAATTTTTGCAGAAAACGCCTTTGGAACGTTATCATATCTGTAAAAATAACAAGCTATGTATTAACTGTTTAAGCCATATGCACCTTTTTAAATCATGTAAATCAACTTCGTCGTGTGTTCACTGTTCCGCGAGGACACAACATTCGCTATTACATTTCACTCATTCAGATAAAAATTCTGGAAATTCGCAAATTCAGTCGACTGTTAATTCTAATAATACCGAAAATCCTTCGACATCTAGGAACAGTAGTAACTGTTCGGTTCAGGTGGTGGCGGCTGGCATGGTATCACAAAATTCGAGTGTGTTGTTATCAACCGCCATCATTGAAATTTTAGATTCTCGGGGAATTTATCAGAAATTCAGGTGCCTTCTGGACTCCGGGAGTATGTCTTCGTTCATTTCTCTCAAAGCAGCTAATTGTTTGTGTTTACCCAAAATTAATTCGACAGTTGAAATCAGTGGACTCGACTCCATGCAGACTTTTTCTAATCTGGGATGCGTGACCTTGACAATTCGACCTGTTGATAAAACAATGCCACTTTTCGTTTTCGACGCTATGATCTTGCCTAAGATTTGCAGTGATCTGCCATCCTCTCCCATTTCTATTGAGCCATGGGATCACATCGTCAATTTACCTTTGGCAGATAACCTTTTTCATATCCCCGGTAAGATAGATTTGCTATTAGGTGCCGATTTATTTTCTCAGA